AAGAAGAAAAAGAATGTGAATGATTAGATGGAATTACTGTAACGCAGTGCGTGTCACATGGCGTGTCGCATGCTATCATCATCTTATTATATTTTTAATTCGTACCTTATCGATTTGATGTAAAGAATTGATAAATGCTATGAGATTTGAATTGGAGTTTTTATGTTTGTTCGATTGTTTGGTAAAATGAATGGATCGAACAAATCGGAAAAAATGGCACCGCGAACCCCGGGGAAAAAAAGACACCCACTCAGTAATTGCTTTTCTGAACTGAAACATAATCACAATCATTATTATTTGGTATTCCTTCTCATGAATTCTACCACTGTATAAATAAAAACTTTGTAGAAGTTCATCACTCTGAAATTCAGTCTCCTATTCGATTGATTCAATCAGGCCTTTTAGATTGATTAGATATTCGAGAGGTTATGCATGGAAAATTATTCCTTGAAGGTGAAAAGGAGGGCTTTTCTCTGGTAATTCATATAGCAAGGGTGTTGAAAAACGCAATGCCGGAATCATTTGATCATTCCGGATCATTTAATGATGATGACTGCTTGCTTCTTGCTTGTTGCTAATGCTAATTTATCTATACCTTTTCATATTTCATTTATAAATATGTCTCGGTGACTTCTTCAAATCAACTTTCTTGATTAACTTTAGTCGACCGGCAAGAAGCACTGCTTTTTGAGTTTTATGCCTAATTTGTCGCACTTTCAGTGTTAATACTTGGCAGTTATTAGGTTCTTGCATTTGTGACAGCCATCATGAATGGTACCTTCTATAATGATGTCTATGAGATGGTGATAACAGCACTTCCTGATTGTCAATCTTCTAGTGATCTAAGCGATTGAAATCTCCGAGCAAGCATTGAAGCCATCAATTCTTGTGAATTTTTAAATCAATTTTGAAACCTTTTTAAAATAAAAAATTAATTAAAATTTTATGCATTTACATAATTCCATTAAAATGTTCCAAAAAACACATATTCAGCTATTCAATGCAATTGTCATTTTTAGGATCATCTTGCAAAAAGTTCAGTCCGGAAGACTCTTCAAGTGGAACTAAATTAAATTCTTAGGAGATTTTACCACAGATATTTGTTAAATCGAAATTGTATGATAACAGATTATCAGTATTATGTAAACTGGGAAAAAAAAATTCACGAAATAGAAGGTATTAAAAGCACGAAAAACAGGTGACAATTATGCGATGTGACAAGTGCTCCGATCTTGAAGTAATCATCACTTAAACAAATAACATTGCTGGTGATCTAGCAAGGATTTAGATTTTTTATTGGAGCCGAAACTGAAGAAATTGTAAATGAAGCAAGTTAAAAAGAGTAGTCGCATTAAAAAACACAATCTGCTGATAAATAGCAGACCTAATGAAATTTATTCAGTCGATCCGACCTGTTGTAGTGAATGTAGCATTACGTTTACTTTCACTTTTTTAATTTACTCTCAATTTTTTCAAGTTGTTTCCAAATTTATTCACGTGCTCACGTGATCTCAGTACGTCCAGTTTCCACGTCAGTGCCTTGTCTTGTGTCACAGCCGATCTGCTACTGCTGCTTCCATATAATGCAAATGTATTTTGGATGTAAAGAACTAGTTATCTGTGGATATAAAGCTTGAAATTATTTTCTCCAGAATATTTATTTCTCGACAGGAAATGATAGAAAATAAAGTCAATAAGTATTAGTTGTAAACTGAAATGCAATAGCAGCAATATGTAAACATGAACGCATTTATAATCTGGTTCTGAAAATAATTAACTTTGTCAGAAGCGTACGGTAGTGAAAATTGTTCACATATAACAGGGTATTTTGAAAAAAGACCAAAAAACTTCAAACTGTTCTCAAAAAGTTCCGAAAATTACAGTCGTCTTAACGTCTGTTGTCCACAAATTAATGAAATTTCTTAAAACCCCTCCCGGTGTTCCCATCACATTCACATCTTCCTCCGTCCTGTATATGAAATTGCTTTTTAAATTGCTTCTTGAAGATGAAATCAAATTTGCGATTTCCGGAAATTTCAAAGAGTCGGTAGGATTCGGAATTGTAAATTTGACGTCTGTTTTGAAATTAGCATAAGAGTCAATGAACTTACGCTATAGTTCTGCAAGTGGATATGATGTTAGGATTGATTCAGTATTTTCCTTTAATTCAATGATAATTCAAATGATTAAATGAGAAAAGGAAGTGCATAAGACGAAGCTTTAGCACCTCATAAAAATGTTTATAAATATCTTATTAAAGATTGAAAAATTTGTCATAGGGTCACTATGACGAATTTTTTGAGAGCAAAAAATTTTTTTTTGCTACATGGGGTACTTTTTTCAAATTTTCGGGAGCAAATAAAAAAGTGATCACGAAATTTTGTGGTTTTCATTAATAGGATTTTTTAAGAAAGGTAGAAAAAATTAAATCCTTTCAAATGCTTACACCCGGTTTCATATCAACTATATCTCAAATCATATGAAAACGGTAGAGAGTATCAAAATACTTTCAAGATTCTCTATATGATCATTTTCCTGATCAGGCTGATGACAAATCCCAGATCACCAAAATACATGCCGGCAAGTCCCTACTAAGGATAAGCATAAAGATGTCTTTCTCTCAAATCTAAAAGTCGTCTTTTCCTGAATCCAAATCTTGGAAGCTCTTTCATGCCTGGTAGTAAATGCTAGTTATTTCAACTTAAGTTCCAAATCATTTTTAGAATATTCATTTGAAAATTTCTGAAAATAGCTATTATTTTCTGATGCAAGAAAAATGGATAATTTTCTGCACACTTCACCCCATGTTTTATAGCTTGTTTAGGAAAGCATGAATACATTTCCGACAAGTTTAAATGGTCAATTTAAAGGCTAACAGTTAAATGTACATTCATAAACACAACATTATCCTTAAAATTTTTAAGTTATATCGTCAGCTTTGTCTGCCAAACTATAACAGGTTTAAAATTAGCCACTTTTTTTGAAATGGACCTTGAACTATGGAAACCAAAAAATTTAATTCTTATCGATAAACAAAGTGAAGGGAGAATGAAGAAGCCCAGCGACGCTGGTCTGGTCAATTCCGGAGTAATGGTACTACTTCGAACAATCTTTTTGTAATACAATCACAAAATACTATGAGGTAAATAGCAGCGCCATACAAAGTTGTGCTTAAAACGAGTTTTCTACCACTAAAATCATATTGTGGCATGAATGAATGAGATGGATATGTAGTGTTCCATGGCAAGGACACTGTGATTGTTCGAGCGGATATTTCATGCATCCGCAATCCAACAACAAAAAATTGTTACTTCTTTTGTGCATCGTGCAAAAATTGCTGTCTTGTGGACAAAAAAATATAACAGTTTCTTGACAGGGTTGTGCCAGAAAACATTGTTTCTTTTTTCTCCTTTAAAAATACCAAACTGAAGAAGACTATAATAGTTGGTTTCATGGGAGGCTTCCTTCTTTGTTACAAACCTTCCCCGCAAATGGCGGCATTCACAGTAGTTTTTGCTTGGGAAGGAAGGATATCTATTCCTTTAAATATAACAATTTTGTAGAAATGCACTTTTAAAAAGGACAAGATGCAAACTGGTTTATTGGCACCGTAATCGACCATGTATGAGCCTGCTTGCTATCATAAATTTCATAATGATTCGAAATGATTAATAGATTAATGTTTGGGGACAATATAATTTCTTATCTCTTTTCATAACGAATCGTAAGGATAACCTGAATTAGCTTAGCCAAACATTAATAAGACAATTGTTGAAAAGAGGTAATACACCTAACACAATTATTCCATCCTCATTTAGTTAACACATTATAACCTCAATGTATCCGGCCAATGAATTCTATCTCTTTCAGATTACCTTCAGTGTTGCGAAAGAAGGATTCGTGCCTTCTCTGCGGAAAGTACCAAATTCCTCTCCCAGTCAGTCTCTTTCCACAGAATAAGTCGATATTTTGTTCGTTTCGAGACAGAAATATGGAAATTTGCCTTCATTTCTGTTTGCCGAAAGTTTCCATATTTCTGTCTCGAAAGGAATAAACAAGATTTTTTCCTGAATGTCGTCTTTCCTCCAATAGAACGACTCATGTCCACGGCAATCTTTTACAGATATTCCGTATCAATCGAATTAATATCCTTGCCCTAAATTCCCTCGTGCTGTTGATCGGAGTGACATCAAATGATTGACAACCGTTTCGTTTTTTCCATCGGTTCTCACTTTTTGAGGAACTCTAAATTAGCTCTTAGACATCCCGTTATTGAATAAACAAGGTAATCAAAAGCCTATTCTTGCATGCTCTATAAGGAAGGAAACACAGATCATACAAATTCAACCACATAAGTAGCAAACAACCCATGACCCTTGCCCCGGGCATTGAACACCCTTCCAAGAATTCCTGATCCGCCCGAAATGTTTCCCACCACATTTTTATATCCTCATTCGTTTTATGTTGGCGCGATGGAAATGTCTTCCAAGTTGAACTGCATGTCTGGATATTGCTCCAGGTGATGGTTCAAAAGAAACCATCCCTTGTCATCGAGATGCTTGCTTTGATTCTCTATTCGTTCGGAGTTCTTTTACCTCCTGCTAACAGGAACAGCAGGAATCTCCAGTCGATTTCTTTAGACTCAAACTACTCATTCCTTTCCCATTGGTGATTTTACCCTAATTTATCCCTCATTGTTTTACTTTTTGTACACACCATATGAATAATTTGAATAGTCTCATTTCGAGTAAGATTATATCTCCAGTCATCTAAACCTAGTAATTTTAGTTCTTTGATGATGGGTGAGCAGCTGTGTTCTTAATTTGAGAATGCATTTTGAACTTACTCTTCAATTGCGTTTAAGTGCGGAGAAAGTTATTCTAAGATAGTTTAAAATTATGCAAGAGGAAGATAAGAAACCGAGATTTCTGGAGTTTTTTTCGCAGCGCCGATGAGTCCATGACCAATCAACAATTTTCAGTGCCACTTAAGGCAACGAAATGCCATCGCTGTCTCGATTATCAGCGATTACTTTGTCGGTGATAGCCGGCGGTGCATATTATTCTCGATTAGAAAAATGGTTGTTTGGTTCGGAAAATGATGCACTGGGAAGCATGTTTCTTTTGAATGCTGCGAAATGTGCAGAAATCAGTACATCTTTTTCATTTCCTTGCGCACATCCTTCTCCACAAAATAAATGGGATCACAACTGGGATAAGTAAGTTCATCACTTTTCCAATACTTTTTCTTTTTTTTTCAACTTTTTTTTCAACACAATCTCTTTGGTTTTGAAGGTTCACTGTTCGAATTTTTATGGAATGCTTTTTTTCCAAATTTTTTTAAATCGACTGGCTTTTGTTGAGTGCGGAGCGTTTTTTTGTTGTTTCGCGTTGTTTAGGAATAAGTCACTTACTTTCACAGCTCAGTGCGGATTTCTCCTCATATTCAGTGGTTTTTTAAATTTTGACTTCAAATTTATGCATTATCTATAGTTTTTGAAAATTACCTTTTTTAGAAATTTATTTTGGAAAAGGATTATTTCATTTATATAATTTTTAGCAGCCTTTTTTGCTTGCAGTCGAGAACCTAAGTACATGGTGAATCCTACAGAATATGAAGAAGCTGATCCAGTCAGCCGTCAAAATATGTTAAATGAGGCAACGCCAACTTCGAAGCGAAATATTATTCTCATACGACACGGACAGTATTTTACGGACCACAATGATAAAAATTATCTCAGCTTGACTCCTTTAGGTAATGTTTCCTGTTGTTATTACTATTTCTTTTTTGCTTGTATACACATCCGTCAAGTTTTATGAGGCAAAAAATGGAAATATTGTTTTATTTTCAAATGACTGTTTGTTTCAGAACACTACATTCATTTTTCTACCAAAATGTTTTACAGGGCAAGAACAAGCGAAGTATGTGGGTCAACGCTTGGCTAATAGTGGTTTAAAGTTCGACAGTTTGGTAATGTCGACAATGACGAGAGCGGAGGAAACGGCTAAAATAATTCTAAGTGAGCTACCACCGACTTCAACAGAAAGCGATCCGTTATTGGAAGAAGGAGCACCTTTCCCACCAGAACCACCTAGCAAACATTGGCGTCCTAAGCACAAAGTAATTATTTTTATTGCTTCAAAAAATTAAAGTCAACATACGCTATTGGGACTCACGAAAAGCGGTTACATACGAGTTATGTAGTTAAGAGCGTATCCATTTCTTAGTCTTAGGATTCTCATATTTACACAATTTCATGCATATTTTTAAACTAGTAGCGAAACTAATGAAAGCTCTCGAAAACTAGGTAACTACGAGATTGTTAATGAGGTTATGCAATTATTTGGTTTTTGCATTAGCTAATTTTTTGGTTAACTGTTTCTTTCTTTGAATTTTGCAACGGAGGGATCGCGGATTGAGGCAGCTTTCCGGAAGTACATACATCGTGCTAGTTGGAAACAAAAAAACGATAGTTGGGAGTTGATTGTATGTCACGGAAATGTGATACGGTATTTCGTGTGCAGGTTTGTCAAGTTACATTGCTATTTTTTCTTAAGTACCAAATGTTGATTGCGCCATAAAACAGCATACTGACACAAGGGAAGAAAGATTTCTAGATCCGTTTTTTTCTTAATTTTAGCAGTATTTTGGGCAACTTCAAGTAAAAGTGGTTGACTTTAACAGCTATTAAATATATCCAATAATAATTACCCAAAGACAACGGGAACCAATGTAGTAAATGATGACGATGATGTTATTGGAAGTCCATATTAGTAAATCCATATTGATTTCAATCTCATGAAGAAAACTATGACACATTGAAGAGCTCTGCAATTTCCTCCCGAAGGTTGGCTGCGAATGTCAGTTGGTCATTGTTCGATAACTTGGCTGGTTATATATCCGAATGGTTTTGTATCTGTGAGATCCCTTGGCGATATCGGTCATTTGTCCAGTGGAAAGGTTTCTTTCTAGGTTGTAGCCGTTAAACATTAACTGTCTTTGTTCACTTCCGTAACTAGTGTGTGGTTAATCTGTCACTGATACAATGGACTTAATCACACTTAAAGTTCATTGGGATTAATGCGGCAATTTGGATCTTTTAAATTTAGATTTTGTCTCGGTGACAGTTTATAATCCAAGTTTCATTCTATTTAAGCGATCCAGGAAATACAGATTTTAATTATATCATTTTCGTCATAAATATATCTCATATGGTGTGGTCGTAATTATGGACATATCAAACCGAAACTTACCTGCACCATTTTTTCTTTGGATTCATGGCTCTCATCTGCTTGGCCAATGCTTAGTTTTATGTGTTATTTTCAAGGTTAGCGATTTCATATTATTAAATATCAGATGGATATAATATCCCGCGCTATTCCTTAGTTTTCCATGTTCTTGTTAGAAGAAAAACGCTGTGGTTTCCTTTTAGTTACGATATGTGTGATTTATTTAGTGACTCTTTTACTTTTGACTGTTATTTTGTTATTTGTACATGTCGTAGCTGCGGTGGTAGTAAACATAATTTAGTTGTTTTTGGGAATTATTGTATTGATTTTAGATTGTTTCATGTGCAAACTGTTTTGCGCTGTCAAATTCCTTGTTTAAATTTGCTGTTCAAATAAATTCTCATAATGCAGAAAAGTGAACTTATATCCTTTGGATACTTCGTAATTGGGTTTAGCTTAACCTACTTCATTAGATATTGTCAGTGTTGGATTTTCTGGATAGAACATTCCAGACATGCTCTTATAATGTAATTGAAACTCTGGTTATGCAAAAGATCAATACTTAGATTTCAAAATCATTTAGAATTTAATTGATATTAAATTGTTGATGTTGTTTCGAAGGTTATGTTGAGGATTTTCTGATCACTAAATTAACCTTATTTTGAAGGTTACCTTTGCTAGCTTGAGTCACTTCAGAAAATTGATTTCGAAAGTTCCTGTTATGATGTTACAGGAAAACTTCTAGTTTTTTTACAAATATGTTTATTCTTATGCGTTTCTTTTATTACAAGAAAAACTTGAATTCAAAGAGAAATCAAAGCAGAAATAAACGAGAAAGAATCCTAGAATAATTTAGGAACAAAAAATAGAAGAATAACGGCAGCGACGACGAACTGATGAATCGCTCCGCAGTAGCTTGCACTTACGTTGCAACGGTCGCCGAAGCATGAACATACTCGAATTGTTTGTGAATCTGATTCATAGCGGAAAAGATCGGATGCTTTAACATCGCGGCACATATCGTATCTGTAAAGCAGCGAGTTGTTTTGAAATTATTTGAAAAATGATGACATTTAGAATTTTTGGCCATAAAATGCTCAAGCTTAGGAAAGTTGTACTTCTTTTTCCTTTTGGAAGTCAAATTCAATTTTCGAAAGATAAACCTATCAAATAAAACCATTGTTCTATTGAAAAAGCCATGACGACTTATGGAGACCGCACAACCGCGTATCGTTAGCTTCTTGCCTGTGTTACGTCCTGAAATAATGCTGCTATATTATTTGTTATATGATCAATGTGCTCAAAACATTATAGAAATAAAGAACTAAGCTTTAATCATTCACTGTAGAAAGTTCATATATTGATTTCGAATGGCATTTTAAATTTCGCTTCTGATTAACTTGCAGAGCACCGAAAAAACTTGCCCATAACAACAAAATCCTGAGTGAGTGTGAGACAGATTGATTTGCAAGCCACTAGACCAATATTAGACGGTCGCATTGGCTCATTGCACTGCGACGTAAAGTTCCTCGGTTCATAAAAGTACCTGCAAATAGGGGCCTCCAAATGTGCTTATTCACATCTAACTCCAGGACGTGCTGTCTTTATTTAAATCAACTCTAATTAATGGAAAAGGCACTAGTGTAGTATTGCAGTAAATATGCTAAAATTCATAGATCTATTACCGAATCATTCAAATTTAGTATGAGGACGAGAAGTTTGTATTTTTGTAGATACTGTAACCCGAGGAGGTACCTTCGTTCATAAGAGTGTCGTATTAATGATACCTCGACATGACGCCGTCCTTGAATAATTCTTCGTATAGTGGTGACATGCATGAATAGCACCGATTCGAACGAGTATAGCCTGAAAATAATTGATAACTGTGGTTATCTTTGGGAATATGCTTTTGAACATATTGTAGTGGGTTTTATTTGGACCTTAGAATCATTGCTCGGTTCAATTAATCAATTTTCCAATAGATTTCCTCGTCCTTTTTTCAAGAAATCTGTTAATAATATAGTGGATGACTTGCCAGAAATATGATTGATAGATGTAATTACAAGAAATAGAGTGATCGTTGTTGGGATTAGAGTTGAAAATAACATTGAAATGAATTGTGCGACAATAAGCTTGTCCAGATTGCTTCAACAAACGTCATTCTCCGAAACAAATTGTGAAAATGAAGGTTGGAGGTAACGAACTGATGTGCCGCTGTCGGAAGTATGCATTGAACTAGTGCCATGTAATTGGATATACATCAAGAGAGTCATCCACTAAGGGTACATTACAATATATTCCGTAACAAATGTGTGGGATAGTGTTCACTTGTTGATGATTGTTTTGCTATTATTTTTGTTTCCGCATTCGCGATAACTGTAGTGTGATCAGATTTCTCATTTCATCTCATCCCGTTTCTTCCAAAGCACCTGAACGTAAACTTTTATTTTGGAGTGGATTCGGATATGAAAGAAAAGGAGAAACAAAATAATGATCTCATGGTGCCCATTTTTCTCAAAAATCGAAAGACAAATAGATGACGACCACTTCCCTCCTTGATAATGCTCCAAATCTTTCTATCTTATTCCTTATTTTGTAAAACGACGTTGTTGGAATCTTACAGCTTCATTGATTTGTTAGCTGTCTGCCTAAAATATTTGCACTCCGAGCATTCATCGTTTTAAGACAGTGAATATCATACCGAATTAATCTCGAAGTTTCATTCATGAAAGTACAAATTTATTGCATGAAGGATGGCATTAAACAATTCCAGAACTAACTATTGATAAATACCTTCTATTTCTCATATTGACTGCATCCTTATTCTTTACTTTACTCAATAAGTCTCTTTTAATTCTAAACTTGAAAAATTGGAGTTTTGAAAGATTTGATCTTAAAGCATCAGTCATATTTAGAAGGCGAACGAACTGAGAAGGGAAAAAGACTGTGGTAAAAAAGAAAAAAAAAAACTCATTTTAGGAAGCAAATCCTTCTTGCTAGCATCGGTTTTGAAGAGAGTAATTTTGGTTACCACTTCATTGTATTGTGCTTGATCCCTGGGATTAGTAAACAAACGGACGATTTTGTTCCATTGGGCTTTCATAAATAATAGATTCAAAGGAGGAGCAGTAAGTAAATACTGCCGCAATTTTCTGCGATGATTCGTTTTCAGAAATTAGATCAATTTTTATTGCTTGTTTTTTTTTTTTTTTTTATTTT